AGAAACTGTGCGCATATTAATACTTATCTGGGGGGTAAAAGAAACACAGAAAGTTGGAGATTACTCAAAAACATGAGAAAAACACAAACTAAGGATATTATCAATACAATAACACCCCAGCAATGGGAAGAGTACTTTGAAGAATTACTGACAGAACAGCGGGCAGAGTTTAAAGAAGAGAGGGAACAGACACGAAACATAAAAACTGCAGGATCACCAATACGAGTTATGCAAGAAGAAGTTAAAAAACACTGCGGCTTCTTGAAAAATGGTAGGGCACCAGGCCCAGGAGAAATATATGGAGAACTGATAAAGTGTGGGACCAATAAACTCTACAAACATTTAACAAAACTATTTCAAACATGCGTAGATAAACAAGAAGTACCGGAAGAGTGGAAAGTAAGCTATTTAACAACGATATATAAGAAAGGAGACAGAAACAAATGCGAGAACCACCGAGGAATTGCAGTAACAAATACGCTGAGCAGAGTGTATGGAAAACTCATAAAAGCCAGAATAGAGAACGAGTACAAAGATAGTGAGGCAGAAGAACAGGCCGGTTTTAGAGCAGGAAGATCAACTGTAGACCATTTATTCAGTTTGACCCAGGTAATGGAAAAGAAGCTAGCCTATAACCAAGAACTCCATTTACTTTTTGTCGATCTAAAGAAAGCATACGACAATGTTCCGCTGAAAAAGCTTTGGCAAGCACTGGAAAAGACCAATTCAACTTAGAACTAATAAAGGCAGTAAAAACGCTCTATAGTGATGCAAAGACCAAGATTAAACTGGGAAACTCAATCAGTAAAGGCTTTATAGCAACTAAAGGACTTAAACAGGGATGCTGGATATCACCAACACTTTTTAAAATATACTTAGAACAAGCGCTCAAAGGGTGGAAAAACAAATGCAGACACATGGGAATACCGCTCAATGAATACAATCTTTATACTTTAAGCTTTGCAGATGATCAAGTATTAATTGCACAGGACTATGATGACCTAGAGTACATGACACGAAAATTGATAGAGGAATACGAGAAATGGGGTTTGGAAGTAAATTTAACGAAAACAGAATATATGACTATAGGAGGTGAACAACGAAATCTGAAATTGAATAACGGACAAGAAATAAAACAATGTTCTGAATACAAATATTTGGGCATGAAAATCTCACCGAGGGAACCCTAGACGAAGCAATTAAAGATAGGAATATACAAGGACCCAAGGCAATATCCCTACTAAATGGTGTACTGTGGGATCAAAATATCAACAAAACTAACAAAACGAGAATATACAACACCATAGTCAAAAGCATAGTCACGTATAGTTCAGAAGTCTGGCCACTAAAGATCAGAACCGCAAAAATGCTGGAAGCAACTGAAATGGACTTTTGGAGGAGATCGGCAGGCAGGTCAAAAATGGAGAGGCTAACAAATCTGAGAATTAGGGAGATTATGGACGTAAAACACACAATAATAGATGATATAAAGGACAAACAGCTGATTTGGTTCGGACATGTACAAAGAATGGCAGATACAAGAATACCCAAGCAAATAATCGAGTGGAAGCCAGGGGGAAGAAGAAGACGCGGCAGACCAAGAAGAAGCTGGAGAAGTGGTGTAGACGAGGAAATGAAGGACAGAGGCCTAGAAGAGGATGCCTGGATTGACAGAGATGGTTGGAGATCGGGAATCGGACGACGTAGAACGTTATAAACCGATAATTATATATATTATTTAATATTTTATTATTATCTTTCCATTATTCTTGATCATTTAATTGTATTTTTTTATATTAAAATATTATTTCTTTTTCAACTTGCAATAACTGTTCATACCAGATTCTGTTGGAAGGGAGTGTCTGTACAACAATCGTTTCATATTAAATTTCAATTTCAATTTCCTTTGCAAGACACTCACTTTTTGATAGAATTCAGGGATTTGATATTCCAAATATTGGTGAACCTGATACTGCCTTATTCTTTTCTGGGTACCTACTCGACATAAAGATCACTGTTTGGAGTCTGGATCAGCTGGAGTGACGTCACCCCAGCAATCTATCCTCTTCCTGGATACAGGAAACAACACGAAGAGCTCCAGTTTACGAAAGTGCAACCCCAACACCCATGGAAGAGCTCCGGATTGGAAAGGTTTATGGTATCAGATTCACTGAAAAAACCAAGCTGTCAACATTAAAATCTTACAGTAACGTTTACTGTTACTCTGTGTTACATATAACATTGTTAAATATCAAATAAAATAATTGTTTGTTGGATTTTGAGTGGTTTCATTTGCACATAAAGGGACTACACGTTATCTTAATTTTTTGAATTCTACGACCCTAGGTTATCTTGTCTTGAAGTAACAAATTTTAAATTAATTGGTAACAAGGTCAAACCCTTGGAGACACATTAGGGTAACGTTCATAGCAAAGCCTGTAAAAATAGGACTGGACATGGCAAAATCCCAAAGGCTCATTAGTCTTACGTCATCTGAGTTTAAAAGACACTGGAAAAATTTGTGGATAGACACATAAGGGATGGTGTGTTGGCAAGCCGACTACTACACCCAACTGGTCAGCATAGTGGAGACCACAGATGATTCTGGGCAGCTCCTTTTTAGACATAGAGGGAGCTTTTGACAACACTTCTTTCGACTCAATAATCAGATCTGTCAAGCATAAAGTGTTTGATGAGGACACCTGCTGTGTGTGAATGCCAAGGGAAAAGATGGTAGAAACCACTGTTGCAGAGGAGACACTGGCGGCAGAGTGTACAGGGGATACCCACAGAAATATAGACTACCAAGCACGCATGTATTTAGCTACATCCAAAAATAAGAATGTTTAGCCTACAAATTACAATAAACAAATGTGAATTTGTAAAAAGTTCCCAGAACTGCACGAATTCATACTTCAACGAACTAATTTCCAAAATTTCTAAGAATTAATTTGAAAATGCATATTTTCGCAAATTAAAAACTCAGTTCCTCTCTACGCCTAATTAAAACGGATTCTCTATTAACTATTGCACCAAAAAGCGAATCTATTACCAACGACCGGCTGAAATCCCTTTCCGTGGAAATAATACGATTAAAAGTTAGAGAACAACAACCAATACCAGTGGAATATTAAAAACCATTTAATTTCTCTCCTCCCAGAGGATTATTTTCGAAACGAAAAGTTTTTAATTAAAACTTGTTCAATGCAGCGCACCAATGGAATACTTAATAATTGATAGTTATATAGTTTTGACGTTTTTTTTCTCACAATGAAATTAGAATCAGTCCATGTTTTATTAGCTTGAACGGTAGCAATTACATATTTACTTAATTCTTGAAGAACTTTTTTTTTCAAGTAAAATAAAATTTTGTTCTCTGTATTTTATGAATTTCTAAAAGCCTGGAATCAAATTTTGGAAGTATTTATGCATCAATTTGAATCAGAAATGAGTTGGATTACTAAAAAAATCATAAAAATTGGAATACAGTAGGTAGCAGCATCATTTTCTGAAAGAAAATATTAACTGCTTATAAAATCTAACTAAAAATTATATTCTACGATGTCAAACATTAAAGTTCACATCTCTAAATGTGTTCAAAATCCTCTTGACTTCTTGTATATAGATCCATAGATGCCTCCCACGTCAAACCAATGAAAGTGACCTGTTGCATGATGAAAAATTGGAAAAAAAGCTAAATATTTCTAAGCTTTTTAATTAATTGTCCCACGCAGAATGATAACTGAATTGATAAAAAAACGAGCTTAAGAAGAAAAAAAAAACCAATTTGTTCGGGTGTTAAAGATGGCAGTTCGTGAAAAGCCTAAAAAAAACGAACGTACAATTTGTCCTAACAAAAAGAGGAAATACAAGTCTGTTTGGACCGCACTTTTAAAAAAGAGCACTTTCATTTAAGATGATTGATGACGGGGGTGAGCCCTCAGGAGCCACGAAACGCGAGCGACACACACACATGCTGTTTAAATGGCTTTTTTATGCACTTAACTCAAGGAAGAAGAGAGATAATATGAATACCGACATAAGGAGAACGAGCTCGACACGGGCCAAGGAAGATAAGACGAATAACTACTTTTTATGGAAATTTCAATTTGCTGGAAAAATGCTATTTACCTAATGGCTGTGAAAAAATTGTTTGCCCCATGTTCCTCCAAAAATGCATTATAATGTTACCCCTCGTGTTACCCTAATATTTCGACTGATAACTTGGAGGAATATTGAGCAAATTGTTCCTCATAAAGGTACTGATTTAACATATAAACCAATTATTATGATGCATGTGATTGAATGTGAACGTGTTTGCACTGATCAGCTCAAAGAAAGCGGTATTTTATACCACCAATAGCTTCGCGTCAAAATTGCAAGAAATATTGTGGTTATTGTTTAAGATTAATATTCATTCCATACTGTTTTGCTCTTGAGATAGCTTGTAACTTTTGAAAATAAAACTTTTTAAAAACAGACTTTTTTTCGGTGATCGACGTAATTGGCGCAGTCGGAAACGGATAGTACAGTGACAGTTTCACATCGAGTCAAAAATTACCGGTGCTTTCAACCCCTAAAGTGCTATCCAGAACCTTCGATTAACCGCGAACATCCAAGAAACTATCCGGCGAACAATTGGAATCGAGAAAGGACGAAGAAAGACAGAACTCTGTAAGTGCTTTGTATTTCTTTTCGCCCCTTCTGAACCCTTTGTTTGAGGATTTCTTATAGGGATAGTTAGGTCAGTGTATCGTACACAAAATAATGTTAATTTCAGTCTATTGGAGACAAGTAGGTTATTAATAATTTTAATTTCGGTCTATTGGAGACAAGTAGGTTATTTTAAATTTTTAATTATCGATTTCTCAATTTAGATTATTCAGTTTAATTTAAAATACAAAAACACTTTTATTATAGTCAATTATTAATGGTAAATACAGATATTCTCGTAAGAGATCTTCTGAATAGCCTGTTAAGAGTCAGATACAGAAGTAACTATGTCTGAATTCAAATACGATATGTTCAAATCTAGATTAGACAACATAAAGCCATATGACGGCGATGTAAATCAACTCAATAAATTTTTGAGTAGATGTGATAATTTTATCCAAAAATATAATACTTTGAATGATGTTGAATTAAAACTTCACGTTTTTCAATATATCCAAGAAAAACTAATTGGCAAAGACGAAATTATGGTTGGCCGACGAATGGAATTAGATACTTGGGATAAATTGAAAAATACTCTAATACAATGTTTTTCTGATAGAAGAGATTACTTGTTAGCAATGTTATTCAACGCATCAGTAACGATCAAAACTTGAATGCATTACAAAAAGCTTGCCAAATTGATCACTATAATAAAAGCGCTCTAAATAGTTTTATAGCTGGTTGTGCTGGCAACTTGCGAAATAATATGTACCCAAAGAAACCCTCAAGCTTAGAAGATGCAATCGCATATGTAACCGTATGTAATTTGAAAATTTTGAAAAGTTATACGGTAACTTTCACGATTCCAAAGTAAACCAAAACCAAATGTAGTTATGCCTCGAAACAATAATAATTATAATAATTATTCAGGTCATAATTACGTTCAAAAATCTTTTCAAAAACCATCCCAAAATCAACAAATTTTCCGACCACAAATATTTAATCAAAGTCCACCTCAAAATCAACAATTTTTCCGACCACAAACGTTCAATCAAAATTTTGCACCAAAACCATCATGGCCCTCTCAACCCATAAATATTCAGCCTAGGCAAATGCCACCGCAAAGGTTCCCTACAAATAGTCAAGTATTCGGTCCTCCACGAAATGTCTTCAAACCGAATCAAATTCCAACCAACCAATTGCCAAAACCAGAACCAATGTCAACAACTTCTAGGAACCCTTCGTTCAGAACAAACAGAACTAACTTCGTTAATAGAAAACCTCCGAATTTCACTTTCGAAAAATTATATAATAAAGAAATCGACGAGACTGAAGAAGAGTTCACCTCCAATTATGATAATTTCTATGGAGAACCTTCATTCAATAACTGACCCTTCTTTTAATAACTTTGATCCTCATTACAATACAAGTGAGAATATTATTCCTGAAAATGCAAATGAAGAAAATTTGACAGAAAGAGTAAATTTTCCGGCAGCAATCCTAGAAAATCCCACGACCTAATATAAATAAATATTGCTTCAAACAACGCATTACCATTCATTCAAATCGAAAATTCCAACGTAAAATTGTTAATTGACACCGGCAGTACACGTTCAATATTAAACCCTGCCATAGCAGAAACCTTTTATCCACAGTGTATATACCATGCACACAATATCATAAAAGCGACTATAGGAAGTTGATGTGCAAACTTTCGAGCTTTATTTCCTATATTTTCAGATTCTGATGGCATTGATAGTAAACTAGATTTTATTCTTTTTGAATTTCATGATTTCTTTGATGGTATAATAGGTATTAATGACCTAATGAAATTGAATGTAAATATTGATCTAACAAATAAAAGATTAATTGGTCCTAATCTAGAAATACCCTTCAACTAGAGAAAGGCTGATAAGGTCAACTTTTCCTTCTCTGTGAGCCCACAAGAAAAAGTTTTGAAAAATCTACCCCTTAGCATTTATAAAGGTGAAATTTCAACGAAACCTTGTAAAGTTAATAATTTATACATTCCCCAAATTTTTACAACTGCCAAAGATGGATTTGCACCAATAGAAATAGAAAATCAAACTGATAGAACTACTAGCGTCACCATGGATCAACCTTTACCAGTGGATTCGTTCGATTCAAACCTTCATGAAATTTATTCAATGGATCATTTCCATACTTCGATCCAAAAATCTAATTTCCTACATAATAATGAGAAAATCAATCCCTTATTGAGAACCGAACACCTCAATTGCGAAGAAAAATCAGTATTATCTAAATTATATAATGATTATTCGGATATATTCTTAAAACCAGGCGATAAATTCACATGTACCTCTAAAAGAAAACATGACATTAAAACAACTGACGACATCCCGGTTCATACGAAAACATATCGTTTTCCATACGTACACAAAGATGAAGTGCAAAGACAAATAAACGAAATGTTAGATAAAGGCATTATACGTCCATCCTGTAATCCGTGGTCAAGTCCAATTTGGATTGTGCCAAAGAAAATGGACGCTTCGGGTAAAGTTAAATGGAGAATTGTTTGCGATTATATAAATCTAAATGCTAAAACAATTAATGATAAATATCCAATTCCCAGCATAAACGACATCCTAGACAGGTTAGGTAGAGCTCAATATTTTTCGACGCTCGATCTAGCTAGTAGCTTTCACCAAATCCAAATAGAAAAAGATTCTATTGAAAAAACTGCTTTTACAGTTGATAATGGACATTATGAATACCTACGAATGCCCTTCGGTTTAAAAAATGCTCCTTCCACTTTTCAGAAAGTTATGGATGAAGTCCTAAAAGAACTCCAAAACAAAATCTGTATGCTCTATATGGACGACATAATTATTTTCAGTACAGGATTGCAAGAACACATTCAAAATTTAGAATTAGTATTTTCCAAATTAAGAGAAGCAAATTTCAAAATACAACTTGAAAAAAGTGAATTATTAAGAGAAGAACTTGAATTTTTAGGTCATGTTGTCACAAAAAATGTTATAAAACCAAACCAAAAAAAAATTGAAGCAGTTCAAGAATTCCCAATACCTAAAACACAACGTGATATAAAATCTTTCCTTGGATTTTCAGGTTATTATCGCAGATTTATAGAAAATTTTGCGAAAATAACAAAACCTATGACTAAATGCTTGAAAAAGAACGCAAAGGTTGAACACACCAAAGAATTTCTAGAGTGTTTCGACACATGCAAGAAAATTCTAACATCAGAACCCGTACTAGCCTACCCCGATTTTTCTAAACCATTCTATATGTTACGCTTCCCGGACACTGACCCCTGCTGAAATAAATTACTCAACGATAGAAAAAGAACTTTTAGCTATCATATGGAGCTGTAAATATTTCAGATCCTATTTATTTGGTCGTAAATTCATCATCCTTACTGATCATAGACCACTTCAATGGTTGTTCTCAGTGAAACAACCAGAATCCCGTCTTGCTTGTTGGCGATTCAAATTAGAAGAGTTCGATTACACAATTCAGTATAAAAAAGGCAAATTAAATAAGGCAGCGGATGCGCTTTCACGCAACCCTGTTGATTTAAATGCTTTAGAAACCGAATCAGTTACCAATAATCCCGGTGATATAAACGACATTATAGAGGATTACCTAAATAATCCGGACACAATAAAAGAAATAAGTGAGACGGAAATTGAAGAAATTTTAGGAACACAAAAACAACAAAAAACTCCAAAAATTAAAATACTATCAGACCTCAGTATTATCGTTGGTATTATACCAATTCCGCAAGGTAAAAACTACGAATTTAGAAACAACATCGATGGAAATAAATCCCCAAAACAAGATAATAAGCTTGATATCACAATTACCCCCATAGAAACCCCATCAAAAACACTCACTCTCGATAAAGAGAATCAGAAACTGTTCATACATCAATCGAAAACCCAATTCTAAATATACCATTTTCCGAAAGATCAATAAACACTTTCAAAAATCAAATTTTTATGACTTCAGGTGATACAGAAAAAATGCAGTGCAAGCAAGAGAAAATTTTCGAAAACAATCGTTCATACATAACTGTTTCGAATAAAGATCCAGTTCCACACTTTATTAAACTATTAAAAGAATATATCAATCCAAAATAAACTTATGCTATTTTTTCTAAAAATGACTTGCTAGTAAAAGTTTTCATCCACAGGCGTTTGGTTATGATGTTTTTACATAACTATTTTTCCAGTATTTGAGTTATGTCATGAGGCTCATAACACAACTAGTTGTGTTATGGACTAGGTTATGAATTCAAAACACAAAACACAGCTATTTTTGGTGATTTGACGAATGTCAAAGGTAAACCTGTAAAGGTAAAATGAAGGTATACAACGACTAATAAACGTTCGCTTTGTGCATAAAAAGTTGTACAACATACGTGCGTTTAAACATGACTACAAAACTCGTGTGATTAAAACGACTCGGTCTACGACCTCGTCGTTCTAATCTTCCACACTCGTTATTGTAATCATGTTCATAAACGCACTTGGAATGTAAATAACTATTACAGCACTGTGTAAAATCTCTTTAAAAATTCATCATTCAAATTGATTGAGTATTCTAAATTCTTAGATGACATTATAACCCTACAAGATCAAAAAGAAAAACTCGAAATGTATCACACTACAAAAACATGTCATAGAGGCATCAACGAAATGAAAATGGCCCTTTCCATGAAATTCTATTGGCCAAAAATGGGCGTTGATATGGGAAATTATATCAATAATTGCGAAACCTGCCTGAAGAATAAATACGATAGAAATCCCCCAGTAATTAAGTTTAATTTAACACCAATAAGTTCTAAACCGTTTGAATATGTTCACTTAGACACTTTTATAGTTATTAATGATACAAGTTCGATATGAACGCCATAATGAAACGCGTGTAACGTTAAACCACGAGGCGTTAGCCGAGTGGTTTAGTTACACAAGTTTCATTAATAAAGTTCATATCGAACGTGTATCATTCAAAATTTAATCTACAATGGTCCAAATAGATTTGATTTGCCTTGAAATAGCAAAAACCTTTCAAATCAAAATTTGAAATTTAGCAGGTGCCCGTACTAGTCGAGAACCTGTTTATTGGTTTTTAGAATTTTGACTTTGGCAGCTTCAATATTGGAGTCCATTTTTGTGCCATAAATTCAATTTTATAGTGGAAAATAATATTATTATTGGTGATTCTGAGTTCGAAAGTGTCTCTTCGAATATAGAGACAGCATTATTGAAAAGGTTCTTCTGGCAACTAACTTTCTTTTTGTATATTTTTCATTTCAAAATTTGGGTGTTATTATGAATTCTTAAACGCACTAGTGCTATTATGAAGGACCTAATGACATTCAAATGACAATGCTAAATGTGTCATAATGACACCGAAGTAGATTAAAATATCAAACGAAAGTTATTTAACTATCATTGACTCATTTTCCAGATATGCACAAGCATACCCGTTAAAAAGTGTCACAGAAATTTCTATTATCGAAAACTTCCTAAACTTTATAAGTCATCACGGTTTACCTTTCAAAGTAACGGTAGATTCAGGAACAGAATTCAAAAATAAAGAATTGGAGGATTTTTCCAAATTATACAAAATTGAACTTCGTTTTACCACTCCAAAAAATAGTAATTCTAATTCCCCTGTAGAAGGGTTTCATTCCACTTTAATTGAATACTTTAGATGTTTAAAAGAAGAGAATAAAGCTTTCCCAGCAGACCAGTTAATTAAACGTGCCGTACTCGGATAATAACTCTATACATAGTGTAACAAAATATACACTATACACCGTTCGAAATAATTAAAGGT